GGGAGCTGCTGCGTCACCTCATCGGTCCCTTGCATTTGAATATCGATGAGGTGACCTGAGGGGTTTTGTCGACAGTGTTTCCCAGAAAAAAACGTCTCCATCAACATTCTGAGCGATATTCTTTAACCGATTCCTTTCGAGACGGAGCAGCCCGTTTTCGAGAGCGGGCCGGGCAAAGATGGTCGGAACTCAGAACTTCTCAGCGGTTCTCGTAGCTGAAGATCATTATTGGAAAGATGAGTTTTGGCACTTTTCAGTGCGAGCGGGAAGTGCTTTCCGGAATTTTCGACCGAATGCCTCTGCCCCTCATACATCCAATGGCGAAGAAACGTGATGGATGTATATCCGAGACTCGGTTAGGAAACTCGCAACGTGAGACGTGAGCGAGTCAAGCTGAAGCGTGAGACCTCGTCGTAATGATATTGGTGATATGAACATAATGGGATGCTTCAATCACAGATTCAGTCAGTCTGGGTAATTAGAAAGAGAAACCCCAACGACAGACTCTATCGGACACGTGAAAATTACGAAATTAAGCATCTCATTGACCACCATTTCCCTCCTTCTCCTGTAGAGCAATATTGACCACTATTTCCCTCCTTCTCCTGAAGATCGCCTGAAGATGAGAGTCAAATGCTAGATCGATTGCTGGTCTTATAACTCCAGGGCATCTCTTCATAGACCTTGTACATATATCCTGCATGAAGGTATGCAGATCAAGGCTCTCCCAGCCTGATCGCATATTCATGGTTTCGAGGCACAATTCGATTGGAAACGTGTCTAAGGTCAACCGACTCACGTTACTAAAGGATCAGCTTTGACGCATGACTGCGACGGCGGCGGACACGAAGAGGCGTGCGTGAAATATACTAAAGTACAGCAAATCTCTGTGTTTTAAAACCTTCTTCCCTTCCGAAATCGCATGCTGCCTACGACCGAGGCAAGCACATTTCTGATTCTTGCACCGCATGGCTTGAGGATGCGCTCCGCTCGCTTGCGGTGAGATCGCATCTGTGTCTCACGAACATACGAATTCTCGCATATATTCCGCAATCGTTCGCGCAGAAGATCTCGATGGTCACGGAAGGGGTAAAGCGATACTTTATTTGCGTCATGGAGTATATTGAAGATCGGGATTCGCTCAGCAGAGCTGCGCACAACCTCTTACGTTCTCTCGAAGCTTTCAATTTCTTTCGCTCCGGGCCCGATTTGCCCTATCCGGACTCCCGCGACCGATGTTTCTGATCAGGCTGGAATAAGCAAGCATCTGAACCTGCGTAGATCATTTATAAGTGATTTCCTCAGTACCACAGTGGGATCATCTCGCAGCGAATCGACTCGACATAGAATTCCATGGGAAGTATTGATCAGTGCCCCAGCGCGACAGGGGGGAGAGAGCCATCGCGTCGCAGCACTTCAAACATCATTCGGCGCCCGCGTTTCCTCAACCAAGCTCGCCTCAGTTCGGGTTTCCCCCAAAAAGCCCGATTCCCGGAATCATCGCTCGGCGGCCTAGCCGCATGCTCTGCACACTCAGTCCCCAACATGGCTCCCGATGGAAGTTTTAATCGTGCATTATTTGTAAGGAGCGAGTTCGGCTCCGGCTCTCTTCAAGGAAGAGCGAGAAGGATTTCCGCCCAGAACGCACGCAAAGGTTCCTGTAGGCGCTGACTCCGCTCGATTCGAGGTTTACGAGAAGTTCTTCCGAATTTAGAAATTCTCGTTCATTGAGATCGAAAACTTTGAGCTCAAGTCCCGGACATGAGACGGCTCTCGTGTTCCAGAAATCGTAATACGCAATCGTCTCATCCACCTCGGACCCTCGCTCCGTGTCCACAACTCCAAGAGAGATCCGACGCGGGCCCGAGTCACACGGTCGTCCCGATAGGCTGCCTTGTATTAATTATTGGAGCCTCAGTTCTTCCACGTCGGTGTAGAATCACTCTGCAATCGATGATCATTAATGATCATCGCGGGATATTCCGTCGAGATATTTGCTCATTCGCTCGACGGGCATAGTGCGGGTAGGGACGGGAATTCGCGATCGAGGCGCTACTCGATATCGGAGTGACAACCCATCGATGGAGTCATAAGTCATAGGGTGTGCAACCGCCCCCACGATGCGGATAGAAGTCCCGGGAGAACGCCGCGCTGTCGGCTGGCAGGCGGAACATTCGAGTTCCACAGGGTCTTCTTGGAATGGATGCGGCACAACACGGAATTTCGTCAACATTCGACGGCAGGCCTGGCTTTCCCTGGGAGTCATAGACGAACAGTCGCGATTCTTCCCGTGTTGCCGCCTCGACGTATCGCACGTGACCAGAGGGAAGCAATTTCCTGAATAGCTGCGAGTCGCCTGGAGCATACAAGGCAGGAGAACGTCCGCAGATACAAACTGGATTGCTCACAAGATGATGCCGCTAGGCCCGTAGCCCGCAGTTGCTTCAGAGTGTTCCACGAACTCCACAAAAAAACGTGAGCTTTGATCCGGGATGAAAGATGGGTTCTGGAAGGCAGACTATTCGGGCCTACTTCATTTGGGCACCTCAACTCACAATTTCAAATGAGCAGGGAAGAAAAGAGGAAGCCATTCGTGGATATGCGACCCCTTTTCCTGAGTATTCGAATACGGCGAACGTAAGCTGTCGAAGGCGTTGTCCCGCGTATTCGACATCAGACGAACTCAAGATAAGAGAGGATGAGCTGCGTCACATGACGAATAAACTAAGTGTTGCAGAAGACCACCGTAGGAAGGCCTTGGCAAGGTAAGCCTGTCTGTGGACGGAAGCCTCAATTAGTACAAGTGTACCGAACAGGCGCTCATACAACTCATAGTCCCGAGCGACTCATGACCATGGCTTACTCTGTTGACATTTCACGTCAGGTGTTCTGCTAGGTTCTCGATGTTTCCCTCGATCTCAATCATCGAGAAACAGTTCAATATCGAAATTTTCAGCTCCTGCTCCGAGAATTCGTGTCAATGAAGTTTCGTAAAATCAGTGATGCCTCGATGAACCTCCAAATCAGGATCCCCCTCCTGGAAGAGAGATGGAAAGGACGCCAAGACTCCACATTCGAATTGGAGAAATGCAGGCTCCAGAGTAGGTGACTCCCACCGGCTCGAGACTGCCCGTCGAGGGCTCCGCGGGTCAAGATATCGTGTGTCCAACGGCTGAGGGCCTTTCGTGCAAAGCATCACTCCGATCATTCGCATCGGCTGAGTCGGTTCATCTCAACTCTGAAATTATTCTCTGCCAGTTGATCACTCGAGACCTGCTCCCCTCGCGCGGATAGTGAGAGTGGTGCTGCCTCGTTTCACGAAACATTCGAAGAGACAGAGGAAATGCTCGCGTTTCTACTCGGAGTCGATCTCGAGGTTGAAGGATCTGCGACGACTGAGCTGCTCGATGCCTCACATCTCTGAGTATGTCGACAAGACCGCGAAGGAACCGTGCTCGGGACAGGCTCGGGATCCCTCAAGTCCGAGAACGGGAAGCGACTCGGCTGCTTTTCTCGACAGATTACATCGTTAGAGCTCTCTCCCCAGACGACGCTGCTTTCGCCTCTGATTGTGATGAGACGTTAAGCTCCGTAATTAGACGGGAATCAACTTGGGAACGGGAGCGTCGGTAGCGTGGCGGCTGTTTCACCAAGGCTCTCTAATCCTTCACGCTAACTACCTTTGAATCAACATGTCATGACTCGGGAAGCATTTAGTCGCCGTACCATCGGAGAGCATTCATAAAATACCTTCAATAGACGGCCCTATCGGGCGGGCCGTTCTCCTCGACCCGAGAACGGGAAGCGGAAAGCTGCTCTTCTCTCCGTGCTCACGGAGCCGCTTCCAAAAATCGAGGAGGATCGGCTCCAGAATTCGGGTCTACGACAAAACGGCGCGGACAAAACGGCGCGGCCAAAACGGCGCGCGGTTCTGGGCACTGAATCTGTGGGGGATTTCCCTGAAAGAGGCAACGCCGCAGTGTGCTGCACAATCAATTCGGCGCTTCTCGGAGCAGGGTCAGTATATCGAGTCGGTTTGGGTTAGTAGGCCCTCAACGGCACTGCCCTAAATGGCGCCCAATGTTTCCTTGGCGCTGCCTCCCGGGTACCTTGAGTACCATTCCGATGGGTCGAGCTTGAGCTACCGTGCGTGTTGCCTCGGAGTCCGCATCATACCCAGGTTGGTCGAAAGGCTTGCCCCAAAAGGCAGTGTAGTTTTCGTCGGTGGATTCGACCTTGCGAGATTCTCGCTCGAAACCCACCAAGCCCGACAAGGGGGACGCGATGACGATATTCACGTCCTGCCTTCGATCATCTTGATCATCTGCTTCGGGCAGATTCAGAGGACTGCTGGACGGCACCGAGAGTTAGATTCGGAATAACCAATTAAGACGCCCCGTGTAAATTCAATCAATTAATCAAGCGCTCTATTCAAAAGGAGGATTTATTTCTCGGGGATGTCTTTCTGGAATATGAGCCCAGTACCCCCAAAGGGGTTTGAAGCCCCGGGAGTCAATGGAGAGCTTCGAGCCTCCATAGACTTCTGTGGGAGGCAGACCACCGAGTCCTTGACTCCAGCGGGTCCGTAGGAAGCTCCATGAGCCCATGGCTCGAAAAATTCTCAAGTACCACATGGCGGTCGGAAGTTTATGACTGATGAGGGTCAGACCACGAGGTATCTTGGTATGTAGGTATACCATAACATCGCGATTATTTTACATTATTTTACATATCAATATAAAGCCGACGAAGTCTTCCAGCCGTGCCTGGGACGTTCAAACAAGCGCCACCACGGTGCCGTGAGGGACCGCGTCGGCGTGGAGCCGTAAAACGACAAGATATCTACGTTCGGACGTGGTTCGTGATGGATCGAGCGATCGGCTCAGTACCCTGGCCATTCAAACTTCGGCGCCTCTGCCGGCAGCAGAAGCGGTTTGTTTGGAGGACGGATGTCGTCGTATATACCCACCAGGTCGATTGGCCTAGGCACACGGAAGCCTTTAGTAGAGTGACAGTATTCCGCAGAGTAGTGCACTAGTAAACAGCGCAAGAGCTCATCTTTTCCGTTCCGACTCAATCGAATCTTCGAGAACTTGACATTTCTCATTCCGAGCGGTAAGAAGGACTGCACCATCCAGTGTAATCTGCCGCAGTGTATCACAGCGGGAGAGTGAGATACTTGAGGGGTTTCCTACGAGTCGGGTATCGCGTAATTCTTACGAGGAGGTTCGGGAGGCTGCCTAAGATCGCTCTGATCCTCAACTCTGGAGAAGCGCTCTCCGTGGAGTCCCACAGTCGCCTGCTTTTTGGCGTGACGGGGCCGGAAATAACTTTTGATCAGAACGTCGAAGTTGTCGGAGCATCGAGAACTCTCTCGAACACTATTGCTTTCCAAGAGATAGAATTTACGTCGGAATGAGAATGCAAGCTGTCGATTCCGTGTTTTCAGACATGCCAATGGGTGCGCGGAAAACGCCGTTTAGCGGCAAAAAAAAGAAGGAACAGTTAAAGGTCAGCATCCGATTTTGATTTTATTCAGAGCTATAATGAGAGAAAGAAGAATGATGAGTGACAGAACATCTTCTGATCGGGGGTAGGAGCATCGACTCCTGTAGACTCCTAAGAAGGGAATTTTTAAAATTCACAGGCGAAGCGCGACCGGAAGGCTCCAACTCAAAGTACCTCGAAGGACGATCCGCGCTCCTGTGGAGACACTCGCCACTCGAAGTCTTCTTCTGCTCTCAGCAGCTCAAAGGTCCCTTTGAGACCTAACACGGGTGGCAAGGAGTCGAATTCCAGAAAGCAAAGGTGAATAGGTCACAACGTCCAGCGATTCCCTCGGGATAATTTCATCACATCGGTTTACCTTCCGATGGAGAGGTTTTGACATGGATTCTCTTCAGATACGCCCTGCTCTTTCAACAAATGACGCCAGATGAAATTCAGGAATTAAAACAGAGGTGCCGAGAGGTTTTCACTTACAAAGGATCGGTAAGATACTCATATAGAGATCGCCGCTGTTAGCAGTGATGACAGCTATTACTGGCATATCTATCTTCGTTCAAGCCGTTGAGGTCTTCCTCATGAGCTCAGCTCACTAAGAGATCCGTTCTTCAGCAAGCGTTGTACTTCACTCCTGGCGATGTGCCGAACCTGCCCCTGCCGAAGAGGCCGCTCTGGGATCAGACGTGGACGAAGAAGCAGCTCGAAGAAGCCGAAGCCAAATACTTCCGTGTGTTCGTTGATCAGGTTCGTCACCGATCAATATTCGGAGAGTTCGAACTGAGACAGATGTCAGGAGGAGCTTCTCGACCACAACGATCAAGTTCATGTGTGAATGGATGAAAATTTTAGTGTCGATATTTCTTTTCCAACAGCTACTGAAGGATTATCCGAAAATATCTTTCTTCGAGATGAATCTCGAAACATGGCGTCAACTGTGGCGGGTTCTGGAGAAGAGTGAAATTCTCTTGTTGATCGCGGATATTCGGTGAGGAATGATTCGGACCGATATCGTGGAATTCGAAAGACATTCCGGATTCGCTGACAGCTTGCTGCGAACTAACCTCCCGGCTCGCCACCGTGCGTTTCCAGATACCCAATAATTCACGTTCCTATTTCTCTCATCGAGCATATACGAGATTTGGGGAAGCATCTCGTGATCGTTCTCAACAAGGTGAATTTTTTCCCCTCGAAGAGCAACGAACGTGGGAAGACGGAGGATTTTCTTATTTGTATCATTCGAGTTATACGATCTTCCAAACGTAGTCGGGTCGTGTTCATACTATATTTACATTGGACGTGTCTCATTCAAGATTGATCTAGTCCCACCTGAGGTGACCGCTCATTGGGTCCAATACCTTGAAGCACAACATCCTGGTATCAGATGCGTCCCCTTCGCCAGCTACGCGGGATGCAAAGCCTTGAGTGAGTTCTGCCTTCAGTTCTGTATTTCGGTCTTGATTCACGGATTTAGGATCCATCGGGAACTGTCTGGATCGTCAATGGTGAGGGATTTCATTCGATTCATTCGATTTTTCATTTCAGATCGTGGACGTCGAGGGAAGTTGCACTCTCCCGTCGACTCCTGCCTCGCTCTGTACTCTGCGATCAGAGACATTGTCTCGGAGACGAAAATCGAGGTTCGTCCCTCGTATTGTTCAGGCTCACATCTTCCCCAACCAAATGCGAGAAGTTTAATGAATGAAAAAAAATTAAAATTCCATATGAATCTACTCCAGGTGGATTTGTCATCGTGGCAGCGGAAGATTCTCGAAGATGGCCTCCCCGGAGATGAGGACGAAATTCTTCAGGTACGTCCGCCCCGCTATCAACCAAGCCTCCAGGGGACTCAAGTCTTCTGCACGGAGCAGTAATCGAAGTATCCTTCCTGTCGTCTGCAGATAGGGACCGTAGACGAAAACGGGGAACCCACCCGACCCTCAGCTAAATTCCTGACGGTCGGTATGGTGGGCCATCCCAATGTTGGAAAGAGCTCAGTACTCAATGCTCTCATAGGAAAGAAGGTATGGAACGTCTAACAAGGCAATCAGGGATCCCGCGCTCTTCTTGTGCCAATTATTGATTATTTAATTCGCTCTTTCAGGTTGTTTCTGTGTCGAGAACGCCTGGGCACACGAAATATTTCCAAACCTATTTCCTCACACAAACGCTGCGACTTTGCGACTCACCTGGTATCGTATTCCCCACAATGCATCCCAGAGAGCTGCAGGTTTGCCGAGTCTTTGCATTCAGCGATACATTTTGTGAACGAGTCACGATTCTGAACAAGCTGAGGCATATTCTTTATTTTCTTCCGTCTCCCGCATCAGAATTGAGAATAGACCATTCTTCCCATTCAGGTTATATCTGGGAGTTTCCCCATATCGCAGCTCAGAGTGCCATTGACAGTAGTTCAGTATGTTGCGGAGCGCGTCCCCGTAGAGAGAATACTGAAGTGAGTTTTTCTGTTTTTCATCTAAAATACAGCGTTCGATCCCGATCACTTCCTACGCGGGAGCAGTTTACTTAATCGTCCCTATTTTCTCGTTGATCGCGCACAGTTTGGAGAAACTTGAAACCACAGTGTCGGAGTGGTCAGCCAACGAAATCTGTCAATCGTTCGCGGAACAACGGGGCTACATGACGGCTATGGCCGGCCGTCCGGACGTCAACAGGTATTTAGGAAATGGCTGCCTCGAGGAGCATCGCAGACGCCATAAGAAGCTCTCGTCGGCTATCCTATTCCGTAGGAGCTCAGACGTTGAGAGAGTAGAATCTCGTGCAGTGCTTATGGGACCTGAGAGTCGATGTTAACCGAGCTTCGCTTTTCAGAGCTGCAAACCAAATTCTGAGAATGGCTCTGGACGGACGAACAATTTGTGTTTCCTTCAAACCGCCCAGAGATGAGGAGCTTGTGATAGATCCGGTGCTCCTCGCGAAGATCACCAAGGTATAGCTCTCCTTCGTAAAGCCTTTCTGAATATAAATGCGGACTCAATCGGGTGATACTGACGAATTGCTCCGATCCTCCCCTTAGCTACGCGGTGAAAAAATCGCGGAGGAAGAAGCTGCCGAATCTTCCTTCTCGTCCGATGAAGGCGAGGACGATGAAGATGCCGACGATGATGAAGACCAGGACGATGGCTCCGACGATCTGGGAAACAAGAAAACTGCGAAGAAAACTGTTGCGAAAGTGACGAACAAATTCGCCACGCTTATGACCGGGAGTACCGATGAGGAGTCCAGTGAAGACGAGGATTAGGACCAGCGTTGATGAAAGCAAGCGGACATGAGGGCGCCAGAGCACAGCCGCTCGTGGAACTCCGCGGGAGGATACCGGATCTTCAGGGAATCCAGGGGGTTTCGCTCGCGTCGTAGCACAAGCCTCTCTCGCAGACGGATCTTGACGTGCTTATTCCCTATCAATTAGGTCGCCGTCGGGACCGGAATCCTTCCCCTTCCCCCAAGTGTTCCCGTTTCGAAGTTGTGGACCCGGGGGCAATATCCCGAAAGCAGCTGTTGTAGAGTCCGAGGCGATAAAAGACAGGGAATAAATGTGTTACTGCCTGTTTCTGATACGAGACTTGCCCGTCATTTCATTTGACCCACCGCCGCGCCTGCGCCACTATTCCCGAGGACGGCGGCTCAGAATACGTCGGAAACTAACGGTTCTGCAGAAAGTTCTAGTCGACGCTGCTACGAGAAGCTGCTGGAGTTTGAAGGGGCGATGTCACCATCAGTATCGTGGTCGGGGGGAAAGGCTTGATGATCGGGCGAAAATCGATGAAGCAATGAGCGGGGAAGGGAGCCAACAGCGCTATTCGAGACCAATATAGCAAGTTCACTGAAGTATTCAGGTAACATAAAATATTCGTCTTCCGTGAATCCGTGCTGGTTGAAGGTGATGGATGAGATGAGCCACGCGGTCTGCTCCGGAAAACGAGGGCATTTTCCCGGTCATCGGAACAAGATTTTCTGACTGGCGCAGCGAGGATCGTCCGCGAACTCTTTCATTTCGCCACGCCCCCACTCCCCAATAAACGGCGTCGAGGCTTCGATGTATTCCCAGATGTGGATACTGTGGAGGAGGAGTCGAATGGTAGCGTGGCGGCTCTCCGCAGAGCCGTCCCAGATCGGTTGTCCTCGAAGAGGCCTCCAACAAGTGCAGAGCGAGTCCGACGACAAGGCCCCTGGGGTGCTTTCTCTTTGTGCACGGGGCATTGTTGTCCCCTAGCTGCGCAGATGAGAAGCTGAGTGCAAGGTTCGGCGACAAAGCGGGGATTTCTATCGAGATTCACATCTTATATTAGATGAAGAAAAACCTCGCCCCGGACCGTGACGATCGAAGACTTTGCCTTCGGCTTGAACGCCTAGCCACTAATTCAGCGAGCAGAGGGGAGTGACACGATGAGAAAAATAAAAGCACGAACTCTTTCGACACCCACTCAAAGAATCGATAGATATTTTTCGGTCTCTGCGATCGTGACCTAAGAGGGCGGCAGCTGCGGTCGAGCGCCTGGAGGTTGCTCCTTTCATTCAGAAGAGATTTTTCTGCCCTTGATGGTGACTCTCCCGCATCTAGATGATGTCAGGTCTCAGTCACTGGGTGTGATGGTATTGATCAAGCCGTTTCGATGTCGCGAATGTCCGAGCGGAACAAGAACGACGAGGGATTTCATTCGGAAAGTGCGATCCTCATACCTCGCCACCCCGCTGCGAGGGTACGGCTCTTGTTTGTCCCTCGAAAACTCTGTTCCCTCCGTAATCATCGGCTGATCGGTAGTGATCAGCTGATCAGGAATCGTCCCTCCTGCCTACTGAGCTGTCGTGAATCGACGACGAATCTGGAGGATAATGAGGAGCTCGACCCTCCCGCGCCGCGTACCCAGAAGTGATCCCAGAAGGGTTTTTCCCTCACAGGGAAACTGGCTGCTGTAGGGAAACGGGTCGGTTCAGGATCGGAAAATTTTCATTCGATCCCCACGCATTGTACTTCCGCCCAAATCTTCTTGAGGAAGAAAACGCTCCGGTCATCTATGCGTCGAGGATGGAAAAAAAGAGCACAAAACGAGCTCAGATCTCCCGGTGTCTACAAAGCTCTCGAGCGGGTTCCTGTTGTCGCCAGAGGACGGCTCGCCGTAATCACCAGTACTCGCCCCGCATCCTTAAGCTCCTACTGCCCCTCGTGATGAACGTATCCCGAGTATCCGCGGGATGATCCATCGTTCGTTTGTGCGCCTCACGCTCGAGGAAAGCACAAAACTTCATTCTTGAGCTCGTCGTCTTGATGGTTTAGTTGAACATAATTAAGTTTAAATTTTTTGAATTTAAAAAAAAAAAAATTCAACGTGAAGTTCCTGCAAGTAGGGGAATCTCGGCTTCGGAGACGGAGACTGCCCCCCGATAGAGCATCGCGAAGTAGACCTCAGCTCCGCGACGATAGACTGTGAGTCCATCGAAAGGTGAGAGAAGCTTTTGGTGCAGCATTTCTTCCCCGTATAATCCCCGACTCCCCTTTGCTTGTGTGAGGTTTTTGCGACTTGTTGCTCGCATTCGTCCGATCAAAGCGGTCACCGATATCCGGCTCTTGAGAGATTCCGATTTTCCCGCTTGTGTCGTGAGAGTCCGAAGGAAGCTCTGGACGAATGTTGCGTCTTGTCCAACGCAAACTGTGAGCCGCCGCAGAGGTCACCGCGATTGATCGGTCGGGAGCAGCCCTCGAAGGTGATGAAATAACCGTTTCGGCCGGCCTTCCTCGCAGTCGCATATACATACAACATAGGACCTAACCACTGATAGAAGTAGCAGCGGCGAACCTTCTCTCCATCACGAGAGAACGACAGCGCAGCAGCGAGCGAGCGAGCCAGCCGGCTAGCCAGCTCACTCACAACATTGAATAGACACACGGCCAGTCGCGAGCATTAGTCCTCCCCGGACCTCGGTGAGTATCGGACGCCTCTCAAGTTTCAACTTCGCTCACCACGGGAGCTATCGGCTCACTGACATGGCTCTATTCGGGATCATCGATCATTTTAGATCCAACAAACCACGAGAAAGTCACCGATAACAAGCTACGATGTCAATCACGTCGAGCTCCATTCCGATCCGACGTCTGGTTACGGATCCCAGCCAACTGCCATCTGACTATTCTCGAACGCCGGGAGGCACCTTGTTCAGCACAACTCCGGGAGGTACGTTGTGGAATCATGGCTGCGATATTCTTCTGGCGGCGAAGTTGAAGGAAAAACATGGAATAGAGTTCGTGGTGAGCTCCTGCGCGCTACTGCGCCGATCCCTGGCTGGTGACCGTTTTTATTGCGTCTTGGTGATCTGCCCATGCTTTCGTCGTTCCCGGCCTCTTTCTGTGACGCTCTGAACGAGGAGCGCTCGAATCCTTCGGCCGGCTCTCTGAGATCGGGACCGGGACCTTTCCCCGATCCGGTTCCCGGGACTTGCTCCCGGTCGGAAGTTCCGGAAGAGAGTGGAAGAGTTCAAGAGTCAGGGAATGCTCCGGGCTAGAACAAGTGCGCAGCTGACCACGACTCGCGTCGCCCGTTGGCAACTGCGCGGTTGGGCCGAGGCGGCTCGCTCTGGAGCGGGGCTCGTGTTTTGCAAACGAAAAGTTTAAGTGCGTCGTCCCTCCTGCTGCCGGTGTTGTCGTCTTCGTCGCCGATCTCCGGTGGTCGCCGCCGCGCCGCCGCCGCTGGACAGCAAACCGAGCGCAGCCAGGCTGGCAGCCGGACGGAGCAGCAGCCTCACACCCTGACTCCGTACCTGCCTGCCGCCTGAATATCGAGCGCCTGCTGCTGGTAAGCGGCAGCCGGCAATTTCCTTGCCGCCGCCGCCACCGCCGTTGTTGCTGCGTAGAAAGCCGGCGACGACGTGTGTGCCGTAGTGGTCGACATCATCGCCGCTCCGCGCACTGTTCCGCTTCTCGGTGCCGTCGACGGCATGTGCGACGCTGCTGCTTCGGCGCAGCGCGAGAACGGCTTTAAAGATTTGCGAGATATCGGAAAAGACGAAGATCATTTATTGCGATATTCTCTATTGGCCAGCGATTCTGCGTCGTTTGCCTTTCTACTACCACATTTGGCAGATTTTCCTCGCGAATCGATAAGAGTTTCTCCGACGCGGCTTGAGCGAGAAATTCTGTATAATTGCGTGGATCTCCAGGGGACTATTCGCTCGCGGATTCTAAACGATGGTCTACGTATTAACCGAGGAAGTAGTCCTCATCGGAAAAACACTAATCTTCCATCAATTCAAACCGCGTCCGTTGCCGGGGATGCGACACCGACGATTATTATTATAATAACCGCCGTACGGGATCCTACCCTGGAGCTCAGGATCGGACCCCAAGTCTCTGTGTGCGAATCTATTGCTTTTTGACATGAGGATTGACTGCCACAGCCGGCGTGGCGGATGGCGGTACAGCCGCTCTTGTCGTTGGTGTTGCATGACTCATTTATAGAGAAGCCGTAATGTCATTGTCATGACTTACATATAATGCGTCGCTCTGAGTTTCTCTACCATCGACGCAGAGAGCTGAAACAAGCGAGTAATCGCAAGCTTCTGGACGGAATCGTCCCTGACTTTCACTTGGAGAAAGCCTCGCTCGCCCGTCATTGGCGATAGGAGTTCTTCTGCTCCCTACCATAAAATAATGATAAATTCATTCGAGACGGAATGAAGGAGTTCGCTTGAAAGGATCGATTTCCGACCAAAATCGATCGGGGAAGGCTTCTTTCTAGCGCCGAGCGCGGCACCAGACGACTGTCGCGTCGCCTCGGAACAAACGGCCTGAGTGAAAGCTCTCAGGAAAATTCCCGCTATTTTCGAGCGCCGTCGCCTTCAGAATGTAGATTTCTCGCGGCTCGACGACGTTGGTCTGCTCTATGCGTGCGACTTGGTTTTTTGACACCAACGATCTGCTTGTTGTAAAGGGTGTCCGCTACTCTCGAACGGGACGTCGAGAGTTCAGCGAGTAGGGCCTGCATCGCGTTTGACGAATGATCTCTCGAAAGCGGAGACTCTTAGCGACGGCTGCGTGATTCAACTTCGGCGGGAATATCAACAAAGGGACTGACGGGTCTTTGAACTGGATGGAAGCATAATAATTCGATCATCCTCGCCAGCGTCGACACTTATTGTTGGTCATCGCGATGAAGGTTTTAGAGTGACGGGAATCCTATGGGCGCGTTTTCTGGTTTCGGAAGTGTTCTCGACAGCTTTTTCGAGACGTTGAAGGACGGAGTTTCTCGCTCATACATACCCACGTAGAGCCTCAGAGGAGCAAGCTAGGCCGGGGGCCGATTTTTCCCGTGATCGGTCAACTGAAGCCCCCGCGCAAGCTCTCGGATGGACAAGGCGCTTCATCGAAACGAGAATCGACCAGCAGCTCTGGAATCTTGCGCTCACCGGAAGATTTTCTTCCTTCTTTCAGGAACTCGAATCGTTTATGATAGGACATTTCTGTTGTCACTTCAACAGTCACCACTATCCCAAACACCACCGTCATTGCCAACGATCCCAGGTTGCACAGTGCCAAAGGTGAGCGATAGATAGGCGTTTAGTTTAAGAGAATGATGGTGGATCTCCTAGCTGATGTTTTCGGTCAGCATGGAGCCAGCGATTCGGGCGTCTATTCCCACCGCGATTTGTTCCCATTACAACCCTCTGGACAAGGATCGTTCGGAATTACGACGTCCCTGCCGATACTGGCGGCTCCCACAGATTATTCTGGGTACAAGTCATTTGATCCTTTCTCTGCACGTTCATGATATCGTTGTCGAGAGATATAGGATTACAGGCTTACTCGATCCTGATTCGATTTCGTACTATCACCGCTCTTTTACTTCCGCAAGTCAAGGGATCTTTTTCGTCTCTTCATCCCGTGAACTCTGTTTGCTCGCGGTAGATAACCACGATGAGCGTGTGGTCGACACGAAAGAATGCGCTGACAACCATGCTTTTTTTTCTGTCAGGGATCTCTATCGGTCTCGCCGAAAAAAGAATTTCATGTGCCTCAAGCGGTGGATCGTCGCAGCAGTAAGACAGGTGAGACAGCAAACCACGATGAACAGAGCTCAAGCTATTATACGGCTCAAATCTCTCGTGAGCTTCCAGGTCAGACCCCAGGAAGCAGGAATAGGACATTCGCATATTCATGATGTTCGAATTCGTTGCAGGTGCCGACGACGAGCAGTTCGCCATAGATATCTAGTCACTCGGTCTACTTCTGGAGTCCAATTTCCCAACAAGGAAGAAGAGGCACGAATGCCGAGGAAAGAGGGGAAAGCAATCATTATCAAAGCTCGCGGACTTCCAATCATCTACAATATCTTCCCGTCGGCCAGATGTACTTTCGAATCGTTGAGCGATTTTTATCGAAGTAGGCGAGACCCCCGGATGCTCCCGAGGACTCCAATGTAGAGGAGATCGGAACATCCGGAAGAATCCCTTTATACACACAATATTCTTCCAATTTCGACAAAGACAGTTACTTTATTCCGAACAACGAAACGTAAACCCGCCGCCAGCAACATTCTTCTGTCTTCAAGCGCATCCGAGAGCTTCGATTGACCTTCGAGCTTCTCGGACTCTTGTCTCATGGCAGAGGCCCCAAGAAATTACTCGAAACCACTCATCGGGTTCTCGATATATGATGAGTGGTACTAACGCTCCTTCACTAGAGTTCGTCCGGAACAGCTTTCGGAAGATTCGCGCAGAATCACTCGGAAGCTGATTCCACGATTGTTTTACGGAAAATGCTTGCCTGAACCTTTAGGACGGCACAAATGATGAGGGAGCGTCAACAATCAGGACTTCTGCGGATCTGATATGAGATCCATAAGAGTATAAACATATATTAACCAACTGCCGAATGTTTCCAAAGGGACGAAGGACCGAACAGACGAGAAAATTCGAAGCAGGAGCGAAAATACGATTTTTGAATGTAAATAAAATGTTGAATTTACATGTTTCACACCGCGCTTCTTCCTTAGGAGACTGGCAGGGTGCCCCATATACTGTAGATATAGAGAATCGGAGTGCAGTCCCCGGTTAACGACAGGGTTTCGAAGGAGACATGAGATTGCTGGGCAGTCTCCATTGAAGGGTCACTTTTGAGGAACAGAATTTCGGTGCTTACCAGAGTCGCAGAGATTGCGGAGCTCCTCTCGCGGCTTGTATGCATAAGTGATTTTCTAGCATGATCGCGGTTTTTGTTCGGTGAAGTCATAATTGAGAGGACCGGACTCAATAGATGAGCAGTCTCCGATAGATGGACAGTCCCTGAGTTCTAGGCGGATTCCGGACTGTCGAAAAATTTGAGCGCGCAAGTCTTCTACCAGATCATATACGGCGAGCTGTATTGTTGATGAGGAGAGCGTATGCTCCCACGGGTGGACCATTCGTGGAACTTTCGGAACTGGACGAGCCTACTGCGATGGCGAGGCTCGTTCCAATGTCCAAATACGCGGACTGGCATCGAGATCCCCGCATCAAAGATGTCACATTGTCCAAGCGGAAAAGAGGATGAAAGTTTGTTGCTTCCCGTTGTGTTCGTTCATATTCACCCGTTCGCAGGATCTCGGCTCAGCGACCTCCGAACTCAAGGAAAATGCGGAGCTAGTTTCGTTCTTCATTTCCCCAAGAGCGAAAGAATATCGTAGAACTCTCTGATGCCTTGCAAACAGGCACATCGATCGATGTTCTCCCGAAGAAGTCGATCATCGGCTGTCTAGTGAAGTCCAGAAGCGACATTAAAGAGAGGAGAGTTGTCGATGAAACCGCCTCACTGACCTTACGGACCTCGGAGCTCCTGAGGTCGGTCAACGACCAGTTATTGTGGTCGATCCCTCAAGCGAGAACAAACTCGATCAATCTGATCAGAATCCCCGTCTACCATCGAATATCCGACTGTACAGGAATTTCATCGGCGATATTCAGGACACACTATCCCGAGATAGAATCGGTCGAGCGATTTTGATGTTAATTGTCACGAAAATAGCCCCATTCCGTCATTTCTGGCGTCAAGAACCGGCCCAGTCGGCGTGGGGCTTCTCAGAAGAAAGCACATTTTGAACGTGTGGGGCTCAGTCCAAAACGGCCCGTAAATTCGAGAGTTTGGGATTCACTTAGTTGCCCGCAGCCGCATCGAAAGCTCGATATGTGTCATAACTCATTACCAGGTATGCTCTTATCCAGGGCTTCCGATCCTGCCTGAGGGGCGGCCCCCGGGCTTCTTGGGAACTTGGCGGACATCCCCCCTATGGCTCGTCAACGGCAGAGAAGGGAAACTCAGTGAATGTCGGAGCCTCCGACGCAATAGGAGACCTGAGGCACGACTGAATGACCAGGATTCGAAAGATAGCCTTCGCGAAGCTATCTGTAGAACACTTCTGTGTTCTGGATTAGTCCGCATGCCTCCGCATTCTCGCGAGATGTAGCTCTACATGGATAAAGTGGTGTGCTCGAGCCCGAAACCATAGGGTTCCCCCTTCCATGGTCCTCGATGGATGTCCAGACACACGTTCAGGGACCGATCGGCGAGAGACCGACATGGGAAAGCCCTCTGATATCCCAACGGAAACGATTTAAAATCGAGCACGCCTGGGCTCCATACTCCCCCTTTACGGGGGAATCCTCTAAATCCGGTCGCTCAGAAGAGACGTGGTGTTGTCGATATGCGACTCGCCGATCAAATGTTTCTCGGATCGACCTTGAGCTCCCGAGAGACCCGTCACGTTCCGAGAGCAGCAAAATATACTGGTGCCCGAGGAATGTGGTGGTTGAGCGTACTGGCCGCGAAGCCACGAACCTGTTTCTGGAATGTCCGGATGAGCTTCCGTCGGTTCTCGGTGCGCGCGAGACTAGAGGTCTCGAGATTGCGATTCGCTCGCCGAACCTGTGGGGGAGTCGCCCCGCGTCGGCTCTTTCGGCGCGTCTGGTCTGTGTTACGCGGTCTTTCTGCCATCGGAACTTCCGGTGGAGCACAGAGAAGACACGTGACACTTCCAACCTCGAGCCTCTTAGTGACAAGCTCAGACGAGAGCCGCGAGCAAATTCAAGCAAATACATAGGATCAATCGGAAACCTTGCTATTCGTCATGTTGCCGAGGCATCTGAGGTTTCATGCGGTTTGACGAATCGATTTCGAAGTTGAGATCAAAGACTAGGATCTTTGCGGTCGACTCACAATGAGCGACGGCCGCAGTCCTGCTGGTCGGCTGTTGCCAGGTTCAAACTCGTGCTCTCTGGGATCAGACTGCACTCGCCCCTTGTAAATGTCTACGTGACGTCCATGACCATGAGAATCAGCATGTGCATTTGTTCCGCGGTCGTCGCTACGGATATATCCCCGATTCCCTAGGACGACTCCATCAATCAGCATCTGAGCCAGAATGGCGTTCGAATTATGCTCATCATACATGACGCAAGAGTTCCGATGATTCTCACGCGTGTTTGGAGCAGGAGGACTTCCCGCGAGATTTTTCTTGCTCTTGCAGGATGAAGGGATTATCGTGCTGCATGAGAGCCGGCTCCTCGCCAGAACCTCCTTGCAGTCCTTCGACGACAGAAATGCTGTGATACTCAGTAGAACTCGTTGCGAGCCCTCTGTTCCCACTTCATTTGTTTCCTAATGATCTCTCTTTTCAACGATAGCCGACGTATATTTTTTGAGGGGAAAAGCGGCCGAGGTCACCGAATATCTCGGCGAGCTGCCGAGAAGATCAATCGAATCCACCTCTTTCAAAGATCGCGGTAGACACGGGAACTCTCCTCCGCGGAAAACGACCGGAGTTGCCGGGAATCGTGTTTTTCGACATCCCCATGATCTCTTCTTAGCCTCACCGATCAGGGCCTAGATGCGCTTTTCTCTAGTTCTTTGTCGGCCGGCGGACGGATGGTCTTGGGTTAAGAGAAATCCGGGCGCTGCGTCGGATCCTTACGTAGTCATCGAATATCATGGACAGCCCCTAACGAGCCGGGCTAGCGGAGGCGAAAACGCTGGAATCTGCTATTTTTCTCCGATCCTGACCAAGAAAAGCTCCAAGATTCGCGGGTGAAAGAAAGTCCGATATCGGACAGGTTTTATTCCACATTCTGTGAGGATTGTACTGATGTTCCGAAAGGGTCGGGTTTTCATCTCACGGGCAGATTTTTTTTCTATCCTAATGCCCCCGCGGCTGGGTGTCCTGATCGCAGCTCCATGGATCTTCCAAAGGTCGAGTGACGAACTCATTTGCAATCAGAGTACAAGAGACGTCGCCCACCAGCGGAGCAGGACCCGTCCCCCTGATTGGTGTCGTCGAAAACAATAAGATTCTCCTCAAATGGTACTTCTTCGGGAGAGGCCAAAATTTTCGAGCGCAGAGCAGCTTGGTTGAGAAGATCCTCGCGCGATGAATTCGGATGTTCCCGAGACCAACTCGAGTCTCGAAGCCTTCCCGGATCGCTCTTCGAAAGTTCGGCAGAAAACCCATCCGATATATGCTCGAAATTGATGTATTGATCGATGACGTCAGTAATGAACTCAAAGCTTCGAATGCGCTCGATCGTTCCCTCATAGCTTCGCAAGCAACGGAGGATGTCCTCGCGAACGCCGAGATCCGAGGCGTGGAACCCATTCAGTAGTCTCATCATGAGCACTGTCTGGTATCGAAACAAGTTGATGAGGTCTTCGAAAATGTGACTGAAGGCGAAGGATACGATCGGATCGCAGAAATCGCTCTTCGATGCTTTGGCAAATTGTAGGAGGGTGCTCAATTGACATTGGACCGACTTTATCGTTCGGAGAGCTTCGTCCATGCGCAAACTCGTTGCATCTACTGAAGATTCCTGCAGAAAATCACAAGAGAAATCGAGAGAGAGGTCGCGTTTCGAACGTAGCCGCCCGTTGAGGTACTCCATGTAATTGTCAATAAAGACTCCCATCGTGCATTGTTCCGGGAGACGCATCTTCGGATTGCGGGTGAAGGTGCAGCCAGATAAGCCCAGATATCGCGCGAAATCTTCACTCCCGAAGCACATCAGGTGATGGACGAAGACCAAAGCCTTGAGCACAACGACACAGTCTGAATGTCCGGTCCTCGTCTTCAGGGCATTGGCGATCCGGAACAGGGGCACATTGAAGCTTTTCGTGCAGGACACCAAAAAAGCCAAGTTCTTCGCTTTCGGGATGACGCATTTTCGCCCGGTCATTTTGACGATTGTCTCGATCGCCCTCCTCGACGACGGGGGGCTTCGGGCGTTGATAGACATCTTGAGTAGATTCTTGACGTGTTCCATTGTCTCGGAAAGTTTCGAGAGGAGTGTACCGCTTCTGAGCCGCAATTCCTTATAACGGGGTTCCTGTGAGAGGTTTCTCGCCCGTTGCTAACCTTCTCCGATCTTGCGGCGCCATGAGAGAGTATCGAGGAAGGAAGGAGAGAGAGTGCGACGTCTGAGTGGAGTCCACCGGAACTGGTGATGTCGCGAGCTAATTCCGCTTGTTCCGGATACTTCTCGAGCTTCCTTGCGTTTCACTTCATCTGAGACAGAGAAGAGCGAACGGTTCGCGGTGTTACCGTTCGCTTCCAAGGCTTATGTTTCGCATTTAAGTATAGGTACCTAGATTGATTGCGAACTCGCTAAAAACTACCGAACGTGGTCTGAGCCTATGGATAAGGAAATCGAGCCCTGACCACCTCCTCGGAGGAAAAAGCCACGTGGGCCAGGAATGAGTTTCTCCCGAGCGAGTCATGCCTTCCCCGGATGGAACGGCATCTCGAGGATCAAGTACTCTGGCGGAGCGATTCGCTCGAATTCCCATCCACGATGCGAACATCGAGGGCTAAACTTTTCCCAAATGCACACAATTCCGACGTAACTAGCATGCATGAGCCACGCTCCATTGCCTCCCGTGCGGTGAAGCGTCAAAGTTTCCAGTATCTGATCCGGAGGGTGCTCCGAAAAAGGCGGGAATGACATAGTAGTGAGTGAATCCCCATCATGACTATCAAAAGTACTGGAGGTAAGCTAAGCTGTGCTTATTACCGAGATTTCATGCACATGATGGAATCGCATGCGAGGACATTCTCTTACAGATCATGGAACCTCGGGGGACAGTGATCGAATTCACGAACCTCTGGCCACCGAAGAACCGAAGCAAGCCATATATTCGCGATCTCGTCATAGGGCTGACGGCTTACCTCGGCCTCCGACAGAGATATCTGGCTCGATCATGCATTTGATCGAGGCCGAAAGTAGTGATCAAATCGCCTCTTCTCCGCAGTCCTGGGTCTAAAGACTCTTTTCAAGCATCCGTAGCGATGAGAAAGACTTCCGACGCAGAGTGAGGGGACGTCCCCATGATCGACTGATCGAATGACCGGGCTGGAATGGGTTCGGAGCTGTTCGCAACGGGTTCTCGGGATAGGTGTCGGTGTAAACCGAATCATCGTCCCGCATGAAGATCCCGTTATGAGTTCTCATAACTCATCTGTTGCTGAACCATCCTGCTGAGTTTGTCATACGCGGACCCCACTTCGCGGGAACTTCGGCGTATGCGAATTCGCTCAACCGCGCCGTCATTCGGGAGGATCATCGAGCTCGGAGAGTGCTGGTCTGATTAGACCCCTAGGTTGCCATGCGCTCATTTTTGGAAGAATCGCGTCCACATAGATGAAAACGAATTGTACGAACAGCTTCACTGAAAGGAGGCTTTCTCGCGGAGAGCCGCAATCCGTCCTTCGAGCTGAAATCCGTTCAGGAATTATCCTCCAATCCCAAAAGCCGACGTGAGTTTGCGTCACTGCGCGTGTTTCAATACCATTTCTGTTGATTTTTCTTTCTTGTCCTCGTCTATCGAAGTTTTTCTCTGGAGAGTGTCATTTCGCGGCTCTCCCGGATCTAGGGGTGCTATTCGAGGACGGCAGGGGTCCCTCCCGGCGGTCAAGCTGTCGAGCATTCGGCGTCGAGACTGACTCGTTTCAGACCAGGCCCCATATCGGCATCATCACTCCGGGGTCGTGCGATTGGGGCGCGGTCTGTCTCAACGCATCCCCGGATGGGAATTCCAATGAACAGAGAGACCGACTCATTAAGTAGTTTCCATTAGCGACAACCGCCGTTGCATCAATCTAAGTGAGGCGGATCCGCAGAAATCTATTGACCCGCGCGTTGTTCCCGTCCGCGGATGGATTTGAATAATGAGCTCGGTGAATCCTGATAGCCATTTCAGTCGGCGTAGATTCCACCACGCTCCGGGATTGAGACAAAATTAGACCCAAATCACGAGGAGCGCGAGGTATTCCCCCGCAGCTGATATGGTACGGCCTCGGATGACAGAGAGCCAAAAACCACAGATGTCTCGTCTGATCACAAGTGACGCCAGATGTCACCTGTGCTCAGCTTGTGACAGAGAAATGTGATCCTCTCGCTAACTCTTCATCTTCAAATGTCTGGCCTTGCTAACGGAATCCCTGATATCGGCTAGTTTGTTCATTTCCACCATGAAATCGAGAGAGAAGCACGGTACAGGAGATGCAGAAGTTCCTCCTCGTGGTAGAATCCTCCGAGGAGCTCAGGGCGCTTCCTGCTTTCCTCCGAATGCTATCGAATCCGGAAGCACGAATCCTATTTCTCGGACCTATTCTATCGAACAAAGTTCCGAGTAGGTGTTGAGCATTGGGCTAATCTTCAGTTCCAGCCGCGCTGAAAGAATCGTCACGTGAATCGGAGCTCCAGTGTTCGATGGGGCCCACGTGCTGCACAAGGCCGGGATATCGGAATTCCAATCTCTGCCATGTGGGCCGGATAGGGATCATCTCGCAGACTCCAGTGAGGCAATTTCGTAGAACAAGTCGCTTTTTATTTGTATTCATTGCACAATTCTCCTCTACTCCATTCAAAGATGCTCGTCAAGCTCGCTCCAGTCTCAGGCAGACAATGCTCTCTATATATTGCTGGAAACTATTCGATGAAAAACAAAACCAGATAACAAAGATATCCGGCGATATACTGTCAACGCTACCCCTGGACTCGCAGTTGTGCTAAAGTAGCTCACTATGGGTCGCAAGACATACAAAACCGAATCATAATAAACGCTCTCGACCGTCAGGCCTCGCAGCTGTATGCTGACTCGTTTCGAGCGAGAGGGCTCAGAGCCGAGTTTCGCGGAGATCCATTCATATGTACATTGACTCAATAATCGTAGCATCGGAGCAGAATCTCGACTGAGGTTCGTTTTCAACTTCCGAAGCCTATACATATCGCTTTTGAGTGAGTCCTTCTTCAGAGAAACCTCTGCAGAAACAGTTTACGAGCGAGAGATGGACTCTGCCGAATGATTGCTCTTCTGTGGAAGCATTCCGCCTCACTCACTGGCTCTCAGAATCGACAGGACAAATGAGAATTATTATAACAAAGAGGTCAGCCGATGCGTCAGGGTACAGCTTGGCACTGCCATCGAACTGGCTTTGCACTGTGCGATCTTCGATGCTAGAGCTCCTCCCTATTTTCGAACCTAAAGTATGAAGTCCCCGAAATCGACGGCGTCCACGTGTTCTTTCGTCTTGAACGATGGATAGAGACCACGTTGCTTGGTTCTTCTGTTGATGCCTTTAGAATAACCGTCCCAATGGTTGCCGGCAATGCCGATAATGTCCCCTTTCTTAAATGCAATTTCTCCCCCAGAGTCCGGTTGAAGGTTATCCGCTATAGCTTCCTCGTCGTGGTCTTTCTGACCTCCGAAATAGAAGATATCGTCCAAACTTTGGCACCTGTAACGATTTGCAGAGAAGTCATTCTAAAGTCATGAGGAAACGTGACTGCACCTTGATCAACTGAAAGGGAGGCTGAGGAAGCTCACCTCTGCGACGCATCTGGATACCTTAGTTGCATGAGCTCGAATGCCACGCGACACACCTGTGCGAACAGTTGTGATTTTATTCTAGGCGCTGTACCAGCACATCAAGCACAAATTAGAGGGATTACCTTTTTCTGCATTTTTTCTTTCTGTACGGCTCGACTTTGATTGCAGTATATTAATTTTTCCCTAGTTCGCGAATCGACAGATTCCTTCCGAGGTATGAGTCCGAAAGAGAAGACGCAATTCGACCAGCTGCGGGAACTAACCTGAGATGACAAAGTGCACACCAAATAGTCACTCTGGGCCAGCATGTGGATGTCGGCGATGACACCGCGGAGAGACTCGACCGAATACCTGGAAGAATCAGGCTCCGTCGTCGTCATTATCCGGCGAAACTCGTATTCTCGTAAATGGTAGCACGGCTCGCGAGCTAGGTCAGGGGAAGAAATTCATTCAGGAGGACTCCTTTCCGATCACTCACCGGCTCTTTAACGCCGCGCTCTTTGCGATGTCTTGGTCCCCTGAAAACTCATAATCCGGGAAGAGTTTAGCCGCATCTTTCAGAACGGAGGCGTCATCTGAAGCGATGTAGACTCGCCGCTTGTCCAAAGGGCCGTGTATTGCTTCGTATCTGGCAATAGGGTAAAAATTCGTGAGGAATCGTCAGAAACCAGCCGCGACCACATAGGTCAGATCTGTATCCTGAGACTCACTTATCGAAATACTCCGCAACCCAAGACATGTATTCGTCAATGCCGTGATAATCGGCCTCCGTCCCGATTTTGTCCGTGCGGCGCACATGGATGCCCGCATAGGGACCCTTGATCCCATGATGATCTCGAACCTTGAAAGGGAAAAAAGTGTGAAAATACCGGTGAATCGAGGGTGATCCGGCACCTCGTTCCTGAGAGTTTTTTTCTTCTTTCGATCCCTCGTCTCATTGTAAGAACAATTGCACCAGTGCGTCTCGGTTCTCCGACGGAGAGTCCCTACCTCTTTGAGGAAATCGGACGTTCCTCTCTGGGGTCTCTGAAGGAATCCTACGATTTGCGATATCCACCAAAGCGCAGGGTTCGCGTGTAGTTGACTGAGCCGCGGCACTAAGGCTTTAGGAACTGCCAACGGCAAGCAGTCCGGTTTCTGGATTAGGCCGTCGATGATGGGCATCTCGAGGTTGACCACCTGGAACTCCGGCGGATTTCGTCAGTATGGGAGGATCTTTCAAAGAAGCAATGTTTTCCCGAGAGCTTCACGGAGGAAGATCCAATTGAGATCCACTTCGACGGCGGGTCGTAGCCCCTGGGGAAACATGAGCTGTACAGGACATCGATGCTCTCGCTCTACCTGGTCGGTCATCGACTCACCTCGTCCCCCGAAGCAGGGTACTTGGACCTACTCCCGCCTGTTTCCGCTATGCAGGAGTTGCTGACTGGCTGAAAAATGTCTTCATATCCTCTAGGATTGTAGCGCCAGCCTTTCGATTGAAGAATCAGAGTTCGCTTCATGGAGATGGCCATTATCATGCAGTAGGTGGCATGATGCAACTGACAACCGTATCCACAGCCTTTGTTGAGGTTGCAGAAAAGCTTCTTGGCCGAGGAGCAGTCCGCTGGATTTTGTAGGACTCGAATTCTGCAGAACGAGATCTGGTTTATCAGACGCCTTCTTTGGACTCGGATCTTCATCGCGTCTCCTTTCCCCCAGCAGGTCTGAGACGCTACAGCCCTCCTTGAACGGATACCGTCCGAAGAGACGTACTGAATACCGTTCAGTTGGAATCCACATTCAGATTCGAGATCGGATCTCCATTTTTGAGCGTTCAGAACCTGACCGTTTTTCGGAGACCGTCCGTGCTTTACAGTCATCCGATTCCAATCGAACATAACCCCAGGGGATTTCCCCACCCCTGCACGTATTCGTCACGAAGTATCCGTTCTTCGAGAGGTCTTCCTTTATCAGTGAAGGAGCACCCTGCTGCCCTGAATCGCCCCTCTTCAGAAATCTCCACGGCATACTATGGGGCTCCAACCAACATGAGATTTTACGTCCAAGGATTCCGGATACATTCTTAGCCTCCCATTTTTTTAAAATAATTTTTGCTCCTCCCCGATATCCGCATTCAAAGTATTCCACTCTGAGCTCTCATTTCTCAGATTTCTCTGATTCTGTGCTCATAGACACCGAAGAACGATTCTCTTATCTGATGAATCGCTCATATGCGGCAGTGCAGAATGAATGGAATTTGGACCGGTTGGCCTATCTCACCAAAACAGGAGCAGATCTCACTCACCTGTCTAGAACGATTCTCTGAAGATCCTCAGCTTCTTGCTTCCTCCACATCTCATAGCCGTCCCGTCGAGTCATCTTATCTAAATTCACCAGTGCGGACAGTTGTCGCTCGTAAATTCCTTGACGCAGTCTTTTGAACACGTCACGATCCGCACCCTTGGCTTCCTTGAGTAGTTTGTCGAGTTGCGCCCTCGCGAAGAACCATAACTCTCTCACGTCGTTCTCTGCAGCCCTCCTGTGCACCTCGTAGTCCGTTGGCGGGGCGATCCTCAGCTCCTGCTGAGGGATCGGCTTCCCTCCATTCAGAGCTTGAATCACTAATCTCAACTCAGTGTTTTGTCGCTTGAGATCTTCCAGCTCGTCGAGTGCTCGGTTGACTCTGGAATCAATACCGAACCGGTCGGGATAGAGTTTTCCTCGATTGCGAGACCTCATCGACATTACTCTGTGTTGCAGCTTGTTCCCAAATCACACTCGGTGCTTCGGACGCTGGGGGCGCGGGAGCTCTTCCAGAAAGGGAGCCTCGGTCGAGTAACTCACCTCGCAGTGATCTGATCCTCCGAAATTCCGGGCCGCAGGAACGAGCCGCTCATTAGGATAACAACTAAGAGCCACACCACTAACGATATGATAACCAGGCGGGTCAGAGGCGGCGGCATAGTCGTGAATTGCATTAGACATCCACGTCGAATCTGTCAAGGGAATCGAACGAGCCATGGTCAAGGAATACATCCGAAAAAAACGGAGTGAATTCCACTCGCTCAGAGGCTCGGTACTCACATTTGCCCGTTTTTTTTTTCCCTACAGAGTAGAAAAGCCACGTAGGCTCCGTCTGCGCGGCGGTCACCGATCACTGTCACATCACACCGCCGACACCTCCACAAGTAGTATGGTGCACCTTGCCTGGATCGGTCGCGGCTGATTTTAGAACAAAGTATCCGAGCGGAGCGCGGTGAAATCTATCTAGGCCAGCTCTTACTGGCGCAGCACCCGACGAGCTCATTGGAATAAACGAACCGCGAGCGTATTCACCATTCACAAATTCTTCAAACGGGTAGTTTCAACTCAGGAGAGGCTACGGATTCGCAAAAACATCACATTCGTCGCAGATGTCTACGGTCCGTGAATGCTTGTTTTGGAAAAGCTCAAGTAGTGTGCTGACAGCGAATATTCGACTCCTGCTCTCTTGACAAGAACTGACTAACCTCCTCTCTTACTGTGTTCATGAATGAGATACCACAACCACATCACTATTATTCAATCCTCCTCGCTCATACTGATTATTGCAAGTATCAGGAGACCTGAGAGTGCATCTGACAAATGCATGCTCTGGGGAATCCGTTCCTACAGAGGAGAATTTTTCATTCCGGAAACTTTTTGTCTGCTGTTCCGGTCGGGTTCATCCCTTCGCCCGGTGGCTCTCGCCTGCAGCCTCATTTCGCGTACCGAGTTCCGCGTTTCAGCTAAAGCCTCGGAACCCTTCCGTCTGATACCACCGTACACATGAAACTGATCATTCGCTCAAGAGCCATCAGAACTCCGTCTCGTCCACGCGTAGTCGGAGCATTCAGTCGACATGATCGTGGACGGCTGCAGTCGTCCAAATGCCTACTTTCGCAGCGCAAACCGGGATTTCATTTCACAGATCAAGCCTAGTGAAGTAGCGAGCATCGCACCGCCGACTTCGAATTGCGCGCGAATCGCGGGACCATCCAACGGATTGCCTGTTCCCATTGAGCGGGAGGAAAACTAAGGTCTCACGAGTGAGACCTCGGAAAAAAAAAGATGTTGGATGATTCTTCTCGCGAACTTCATCTCAGAAGGGACGATACCCCGAATCGGCTCTCGCGCACGGTCGGAGTGGCGCTTGAGCGGAACTGCTCATAAGTCTGCTGAGCTGTGTTGTTCCGCGGATTAGAGAGAAGTTGCGGTGTGTGTTTTCATGCTCAGGGGAGTCCTCAGTTTTTCTGTTCGGTGCGGCAGCCGAGGCGGATGGATCCGATCCCTTGAAACTCAATGTAGATTGGCTTCGCTCTTCAGCGACTCAGTAAATTTCCACAGTGAGTTGGCGCCGAGGATCATGGGTGAGTCCTGCAGAAATTATCCGCTCCACTGGGAAATGTCATTCAGCTGTCAACAGATGATCGGAGAGCGAAATCCGACCGCCTTCATCCATTTTGCCTTGCGCTTGATTCCACGGCAATCGAATTTTGCCTGGAAAACATGATCCGATGCGATGTGTCTCCTCAGGATGCGCCTCTGATGAAATAGTGTCGAATATCCGCGCAGCAGAACAAATCATAAAAACGCGCACATGATCTCCACGCTCCGAGGAATCCAGTGGACACAAGTCCGATGTCGCGAAATCGATGAGTTGAACGTAGAGGGTTCTCGCGGCTCGCCGAATCCGGGGGTCTGGTAAGGAGGAGTCGCGAATTGCGCAGAAATGTTTTCGGGAGATTCGCTGCGTGCCGGAGCACCGAGCTGCCCGCACTCTTCCCGGATAGACATTTCTATGATGCAACGGGTATTGAATAGGCTCAGATATCCATGCATATCGCGATGGAATGGACGCTCGACATCGTGCGGGAGTCCTCACCACGGGAGACGTCCCTTCTCGGGAACTATCAGCTAGTTCGAGAGCACTTCATTACAAGAGTTCCGCTCGTCATCGTCGATTCCGGGATTCCCAGTCCCGCTCAACTTCAACTTCAGTGAGGTCGGGAACGAGGATCAGATCCCGATTTCTCACAATGAGTAGGTTTTGTCCGAGTCGGAATGAGATATAGCGAGAGTGTAGCATGATGAATTATGGGTCAGCGCCCAGACCGACATCAGCTTTCGATGGATCTATCCGGAATGGAGCATATTGAGTTAGTCCGGGCAAATCGCAGAAGAATATCCCGGATGTTGAAGCCAGTGAGCGTGGCTCTCTGTGTGCGAATTTCCTCGTATCTATTATTGGTGAGAAGCTCAGTCTTAGCCAGTCTTCGAGTAATCTAAGAGTGTGGTCATGAGTTTTGCTCTTCGGAGACACGGAGTCGAGGTTGAACGACGCGGCGCCCGATTCATCAGCGTCGCACGTTGCGGAGCGGACTGTGCCCTCATCCCAGTGGAATAGTCTGATGGCGTCGAAACTCGAAAGATGAGCTTCGATACTTCCGCCAGGTTTCGCAACATCGTCGACATAATTTTTTACCCAAATGGATTCTCCACAGAAAACCACGACAGAGCGAGTAGCCACGTTAATGACGAAACGAGCGGCAAGACCGCCTCCACGGATCTCCTGGACGTTTCAGGGCCGTCAAATGAGCCTCCCTCGCCTACATTCTCCAGGTGAGCATCCTGGACATCAATATAATCCTTATGAGTGAGCTGCGATCCGGGCGGAACTTTCGGCTCCGAAAATATCGATTCCGAGATCTGGAGCTCAGTCCATCTCGTTCTTGAATATTTCAGAACGTCATCGGAGGGGAGAACAACTTCTTGCCTCGGCGGCAGTTGCAAGAAGCCTCAGCGCAGCGCATCTCCGGATTCGCCCACCGGTGAGTATTGAGACCGCCGCTTCCGCGCGAATTCGTGTTTCCTCCTGTCTCGTCTTCGCGCCTAAACATTACTAGACACGATCAGTCACAGAAGGTGTTTTCGGCAACATTCCTCGGAGAAGATCTCTGCCCCGTCGTGCTGAGCCGTCGTACACAGTCAGGCCTGCGGGATAACGATGCTCCGTGGGGGAAAGCCACGCGGCAAACGATCGCGAGGAAGCGAAGGCTCAAACTCGTCCGACTTGATCGAAATCGCGAGTGGGCCGACCTGTTGTCCGTGCCGCCCGCGAAAGCCCAAGCTAGTCAAGAGGAGACATATTCTCATGGCCCGGCGCAACAGTACGAAATCGGTCGGAGGGTTTCGATTCATTTCAGGGAAAGACTCCTTATCTGATGATCGCTCTCTCGTTGCAGACGGCAGAAACCGGGAGGACTTCATATCGAATTTATCGAGTTATTTCTCTCGTAAACTCGGTTTTGGATCCGAAAGGTGGGTTCTGGAGATCATGTGACGTTGGATGACTACGCTCAGAGCTCCGATTTTGCTCGATACATTTGGACCATCGCGACCTTGCAGGGATGGAGGATCGACGAGTAGCGCCGGCCCTTCACAGCCGGCTCACTTCTTGGAGGAACCCACGATCGACTCGGTCGTGAAGTACATAAAAAGCGATAAGTGCCGCAACATAATCTTCATGGTCGGAGCAGGAATCTCTACGGCAGCTGGAATCCCCGATTTCCGGAGGTGAGCGATTCTCGAGCATTTAATCCAAGACGAATCGATCCACCGTTGTCTATTTTTCATCTTGATAGAAGAGAGTTCTCCAAGATGGTGTTTCCGTTTCAGTCCGTCCTCTGGCCTCTACTCGAAATTGGGAAGGTTCAATCTGCCGTCACCAGAGGCTATATTCGATATCGGGTACTTCAAGAGAAATCCAGTCCCCTTTTTCGAATTGGCCAAGGAGCTCATGCCACAAAAACTGAAACCCACATTAGCTCACCATTTCTTGAAACTCATGGACGAGAAGGTGAGAGTCTAGAGAAGCGGGGCACAAGCATATGAGCTCAGAAGACGTGGAGGAATCCCCACTCGACCGAAATCCTGCCCTGAATCAACTCGGCCCCATCTTTTCAGGGCTTGCTGCTGCGTTTGTATACCCAAAACATCGACACGCTCGAGAGAGAAACGGGGATCCCTGCCGAGAAACTGGTCGAGGGACACGGCACGTTCAATACGTCGCGCTGTCTGAGCTGCAAGAAGGAATACTCCCTGGAGTGGATGAAAGGTATGGATCACCGCCTCGGTTAAAGTTTCGGTAGGACTCGCTGTCCTCCTTGAACATTCATCCTTCCATCGAAATCGGGCTTTAGAACAACGAAACAGTAAAGTTCAATTCCAGCCGAGATCGCGAAAGTAGACAATGTTCCAAAATGTACAGTTTGCAAAGACGTTGTGAAGCCAGACATTGTCTTCTTTGGGGAGAACCTCCCGAGTCGGTGAGTTTTGCGGTATTTTCCTTCGTGGTCCAGTCTCCGGTGTGCGGCGGAGGACGGAAACGATTCTGATCACCATCGTCTTTTCCCAGCTTTTTCGAATTGGCCGATGAGGATTTCGCAAAGTGCGATCTTCTGGTGATAATCGGAACGTCTCTCCAGGTTCAACCTTTCGCGGGTTTGGTAGACAGGTAATAATTGCGCTCAACTCTTACTTGCGTATTTCTCTTAGGATACCGGGCGTTGGGCACTCGTCTGGGGAGAAAGGCCGGGAAGTCGTCTAAGTGCTAGCAATGATTCTAATGAAACCCCTGTTCCGCAGAGTGCACTCAGCAGTCCCTCGGCTTCTCATAAACCTCGAGAAATGCGGACATCAGAAGGACCTCGTCTCGAGATTGCTCGGTTTCGGCTGCGGCCTTGATTTCGACTCGGAGAATAACTACAGGTGAGGATACTGATTCACTCCATTACGCTGGCTGGTCATCGGATCCCAGGATCTCATCGTACCGGTCGACAAGCGGTCTTTCATCGAACGCGCATTTTTTTTCGCAGGGACGTTGCCCTGCTCGGCACTTGCGACGAAGGGTGCGAGGAGCTCGCGCGGCGTCTTGGCTGGGAGGTAGGCCGATCTTATATTGGCTATTCAGTCAGCTTAATTTGAATTCCGATACATTTCAGGATTCCATTCAACCCAGAATTGATATCTTAGTTTTCGAAATTGTTTTCCAGGACGACTTGAAGCGGATTATCGCGGACTACGAGAAGTCGTTGCCCGCAGACAACTGACAAGTATTTTCCCTGGAGCAGTACTTGTCAATGCCGCTTGGTCAGCCGGAATGACTGGAGTTTTCTATCGCTTTTTCCGAATACGGACCTCACAAAGTTTAGAGAATAAATTTTGTCCTTCGCAGCGATCCCTTGAGGCGCCTTGAATCGATCTGTGTATCCCAGCGGTAGGAGAGATCAACGTACATGTGAATATCTCGAATTGAAATTCGGGCAGTGAGAAGCGGGAGAAAAACTCGAATAGCCAGGCTATTCATTGGCATCGGGGATCCCTCTGAACCACGGTCGCCGTCCGGACTCGAATGAGGCTAGCGGATTCCACGTTGTTACGGATAAGCTCCGGAACTGATGCTCAAGCAATGTGGAGGGGATCCGAAGATTCGTCCGGGTGAACCCGGAAACTTGTGGCAATCTCTCGTCGAAAATGGAGTCATTCTCCCACTGAATTACCCGAATGAGCTCATCGAGCGCTCTTCGGGGACCCTTCGGTGGAGCTTGGCAGGTGTCTCGCTTCCGAATGTTTATTCGCAAAGCTCTCATAGATATGAAGCCTTCCTACACTCTGAGCGCACTCATCCCTTACTGGCTGTCGATCACCTGCTCACGACGAATCGTGTGGGTGAGACTTGATTCGAACGTCGATCGTGACGGCCTCCGCAAGCTGTGATTCAATCTGCCGAACCATAAATTCTCTGTCCGTGATTTGTTCGAGGGAGTTGACTCCGAAAGAAGTGCGATTTTCCGCGCGAGGAGCGAGGTGTCTTGAAATAATTCGCACGACATACTACTTAGGTGTGAGTGAGGTAATGCCGGGAAACTTACCTTCCCTGCTCTCAGGTGGATCGTCTCAGGTACGATGAGGAAAGTCTAGCGGCAGAAACGATGCCAACTCGGAACGAGGCTCGAGTTTTTCGTCCGCCGCTCATTCCCTTAACGCCGATTTCGCGCTTTTCGTGAGCCAATCAGATGGCTGCCGACGATGTAAGCGAATCGGAACGGCACCGCAACAATCCAAGAACACGCTCTTGGCGAGACTCAACTCTCGCAAACTGAAAATTACCGTCCCGGAGTTCTCCCCTCACAAGCACTGGTTTCTCCAAGACAGAAAGACTGTGCTTAGGAGTTCCATCGAGCTCTGACGAAGAGATGATCTCTCGCGAGTCCCCCGCCAGTCTTCCCAGGAGGAGTCGTATCGAAGACAAAATTTCTCACTCAGCTAAAGTCGATTGCTTTAAAGATTTATTTTGTCCTAGTTTCCTTCAGCTACATGTTCTTCGATGCATAAGATGAAGCTCAAACTGAACCCATTCGAGCACGGGGTCCGAGCGTTGTCCCAGCTTCGCTGAGACACGTTTCTTGCAAACTCATTCACCAATCATTATGACTAGAAATACTGTCAGATCGGGTTAATGAGCTTCCGCAAATGTTACTAGAGGTTACATGTGATATCCCTAGGGGGAATTCTGTTCATTCATCGGATAGGAACAGACAAGCAGACACACAATACATATGACTATTTGGAGCGTCTCATCGAAACTCGATGAGGAGACGAGCGACGGCATTGCTCATTCTGAACCCTGTACAATTGTGCCGCGAAGTACTCAAGTCCACAGCTTAATTTACAAACGACTCCATCCTACGATAATGTCAGCAGCGCATGGAAATCATATTGAGATTATGGTATGTGAAGCCTAAAGACCTATATTGGTCAAGATTGACAAACATCTTCGAAGAGTTCCGAAACCACGTCCATGGTTTGGTCATCGACAAGAACGAGGTCGTAGAGGAAGAGAAATGTTTCCAGTCTCTTCTCGACGTCGTGATCGAGGAAGCCGATCTTCAGGACAACACTATCTCCATCGGGGGGCGGTTTGACTTGCGGAGCCCCGTCTGCCATGGAGCAATCACCTATCGAATCTCCGAGTAGGACAGCGTTCTTCCGGTTGGAGACTTTTTCGCTCCTGTAGTATTCACCAGCATGTGGGAAGAGGGCGCTTTTGTTGTACATGTGCAGGAGAGTGTCACTGAATTTCACGGGCCAGCCCTGCTGATCGTATTCGAGGAAGTTCGATAGTATAGTGACGTTATCGCAGAGAGCGCCCTGCTGATCGAGGGATATGCGAACTACGTCCCCCAAACCAGCACTGAATACCAGGATTGGAATACCCTTCTTAGCCAATAGACTGAATAGTGACACGGTGTGTTCTCGCAAGTGGAGATCTGCGCGCTGGACCATCGCCGGCAGGTCATCGATATGAACTTTCAGCTTCAGGACGATATCGAAGCTCTCTTTGTACCTGCGAACGCAACATTCCGTTCGAGTGATTTGATCCTGAAGTTTCCGTCGGCTCGAGAGCGGCAGTCCCGATCGCCTCCGGGTATTTTCGCTTACGAGCCTCTTCGTTTCAGAATCTATATCAGGAGAGTTATAAGCAGAGCAACCTACCATTGAATCATGTGGGGCAGTTTCTGTTCATTGGAGAGATTCGGGTTGATTTCGATAGGATAATATTTGTTCCGTAGCTGGACGGCGAGATCTCTGTACTCTTCCTTCACGTGATGATCGTCCTCGAATATACAATAAGACGTTGATACAGGTTTCCCATGGTAGTGCGTGCGAGAAAGTGTGCGATCGAAATCGGTGATCAGCTGGACTCTCGACGGACCTGTAACGAGAGATGAGAGTTCGGTTCGGGCGAGAGTGTCTCGGAGACGGGGAGAAACACTCTCCTGGGTCGTCAGTCGTCACATGAATATCATCGATCGGCTGAAGCTCATCGTGATTGAGAATGTTCTTGATTTTAATTAATGCTCGACGTGGAATTCGAGAAATCGCGAGAAGAGGAAAAGGTATCTAGCTGAGGGAGTGCTCGCCAGGGGCACGCTTCGCTCTATAGCAGCAACCGTATATGGTCACAACGCCATCCTTGTTCTTGAGGTATTTTGGCTCGTCTGATAAACCCATCCGAACAAAATATGACACGGGAGTTATCGTTTCCCGTAAGGGGTCCTGTCAATAAGTCTCCTCGACGAACCATATCAGGACTGGCTTCCTCCCGAAGCTGAGCTCAAGACCAAAAGAAAAAATCTCCACGTCTTCAAAAGACGCAATCCGCGAAATTTGTCGTCGGCGAGGTCATTCATCTCATGTGGCCGTCGATTGCTGATCAATCAGAGATTGGAGGAAGCGATTGTGTAACTCACCTTCGCGAATCAGACCATTGATCTTCGTTTGCACATTCTGAGTATCTCGTATGCGAACCGTTGGATGTTCTTTCAGCCAAGCCGCTGACGCTACGACTGAACGCCCGAGATGCCGGAACGACATCTGTAGACTGCACTCTCAGATCAGCTGGAACAGCAGTCGTTAAAGCAATCAGCTGATTATACTGCTAAGGAAATCAGGGATCGAGCACGGAGCGTCGGGCGGTTTTCAGAACTCGGGGCGGACCTTGAGCTCTCCGAGACGGCCTGACGGGCGGGGGGCGTTTCCTCAGGACGGAGGGAGACCATACCTTGAGCATAGGTTTCCGAGATATGGTGAGCAAAGCGGCAGAATTTTATAGGGAGCAACCTATGGAGTATCCCGATCCCGAGATGGTGAAGTTCGCTCGCAGACGGATGTTTGCCAGCCACTGATGACGATGATCTCTGCTCGAGAGCGTCGGGATCCCGTGAGTTCGGAGGAGGGCGCGAGCTCGAGGCTTCATATCGGTCTGTATCTGAGAAAGACCTGATTAAGGACTCGAGAACATCAAGTGTTTCCGCTCATGAAATGACTACGGAGAGTTTCCTGCCCATTGCACGCTGATTTGGGCACAGAGATTCGTGAACTGGTAGGGTGGGGTAGGGGAAGATTGTGGAACGCGATAGGGAGATACGACATAATCAGTATTCACTCGATTCGAATACCGCGCAGCCATCGATCATTCTATATGCGAGACCTAGCGAAACAGAAAAATATGGCGCCTGAGAGAAGCGTACATGGATAGTATATGCTAGTGTCCCACAATAGTCTCCGCAGCTAGTTGTTCAAACCATTCGCTGCTCCGCAGATCGATTCTATTTTCCCGAGCCCAATGAACTTCGGTTGACGGACACCTTTCCTGGCTACAGCTTCCATATGATATCTCGATCCGTTGGGAACGGAAATGAATGTCCTGAAACGACTCCCCCCCCCTTCCTTGAATCCCTGAGGTCGCCAGCCTAACAGGAACGGCTCCTATGGGAAATTTTCCTGATGAGGAATTTGTTTGGTTATGGATGCGTCTTCTTCTTGAAGTTGGGAATGACCAGCGGTTACAGAGCAGTCCTCCACGAACGAAGAATTTTGATTATCGTTCGAACGAGCTTCCATCATTATCAGCGCCGAAAACTCAATCGAGACCACAAGCTTGAGAATCTCCGATTCCCGGGTTCATCATGGTCTTGGAGATTTCAGCCTCAACAGGGGGAGTCTTTCCTTGACTCTCACGGTGAGCGAATCGAGAAGGACAGCTCCAACGAGAGAGGACAATTCCAGCAGGATGCGTTCCCTGAGTATGGTGTCCTCAGCAAGAGTACGACCTAGTTTCTCGGAAAGGAATCTACTTACGAGTCTGCTTCTCTGTCCGATGAGTCCCTCGCTCCTGGTCTGCTTCAACATCGGAAAATTCCAGGGCACGCACAGCATGGGTTCATGCTTCCTCTTACCTCTCCAATTACTCAAAATGGAGAGTCAGCCAGCAGGTGAACGGCGGACAACGCGAGAGGTGACAACAAGTCCTGGGACGACTCCATTAGAAAGGATCGATACTGACTGTCAACCTTCGACGCTCGGGCCGAACGGTGCTATCCTCCGCGGGGGTATTTTCCACATTGCGGAGGGGGCTCCACCACGCGCCTCAATCTTTCTTGGCATGCCTTCAAGGCTTGAAATGCTTGAATTTCAAGCGTTTCGCTTCGAAATAACGGCCGCGCACCCACACGTGAACGAGACGATGCGGAGACACGATTCGGATCTCCCGCCCAGCGAAGATCATGGACATCATCGTCTTCCATTATCCGTCAACAGACTTCATTTCGACAAATTCTACCTCCGTTCATTCCGAACGAGGTACACTCTGGAGGGAACACTGGTCTCTCGGACGTATGTCGAATTGAGGAGGTCACCGGTCCAAGTTGAGCGCGTCCTCCGTCTCTCCCCGTCCGAAGCATTCTGAGGCTTAGATCGTACACCCCGACGACGACCCTCCAACGGCCAGATAGGAGAGAGAGGCAGTTTGCGCGTAGCCGTTATCAGGAGTTTGACAGTTTCTCAGCGTGAGTGTTTTCATTGTACTTGAAGCAATAACTCGAGGTCTTCGGTAGCACCGTCACGCCATGTTCTGAAGCACGGCGAAGGATATACACAGGTACAGTGCGTGACACCTTGATGCGTCAAGCCCGAGCAGCAGTTCAGAGCGCGAGAACTCTTCACGTTTGAACACTGAACTCGGTTCGCATTATCGCTTTCGTACCGGGTCTGAAGGCAGTTCACAGCTCCGCGGGTAGGATTTCTCTGACGCCTGACCCGAATCGGGGAGTCATGAAATCAAGAGGACACGAAGAGATGTCTCAGTCAATGAGCTTTCTGAGCGAAACCATTAGCTGCTGAACCTCCTCTTGCTCACGAGAGAGATTCCCTCTCAGGTCTCCCCGTTTGATCGGACTGACTTACGGAACGATTTAAAATTTATCCTATTCCGGATCTGGAACTCCGGAACTGAAGCTTCATATCTTGTGGGCGGCTGAACATGTGATCCTCGCATATTCCAGCGAGAAGAAACGGCATCGAGCGCCTTCTGTTCTTGATGCGGACAGCGGTGGTCGAACAACTTTTGTGAACAATGAGGATTCCATGAGGAGGATTTCTTCAGAACCCAGGGAATGAGATCCGAAAGTCGACTCAGGATCGCGAATGGTCCTTCTGTCTGTGGGTTTGACATGTGTTGGAAGGGCGCTGATTTTCGGATCATTTCTGTCTACAGGCAGCTGATAGGTGCTACATGGCCGTGAGCTCCATGGGCGGCATAGTGTATAGCTGACAACTCGGATTGATTTGAGAAGAAAATTTCGTACACATATAGCTCTCGTAGACAGGGTAGTTTACTCGCTTCCGGTTGGAAGAGAGCGCATGTCCTCGGCATATGCCGGTGAATCTTTGATGAACGCGTGGCCTCAGTTGTCCTCATCGATATCCCGTAAGCATTGTCTCGTTCCTCGGATCCTCGGAGGTGGTCGAGTGGAGCTTATTTTCACTATCAGTTGAATCCCTCATGTAGAAAAGACCTTGATTTTGAATGCCTAATCGATCAGTGAGCTTGGGCCGCAGGCCTCGACCCGAGTTCCGTGTGAGGATTTCGACGGAGAGCCTGACTTTTCGATATCATGCTTCCTCGTAGATCATATTATAGTTTTGCCTGCCAGTATAATTTTGAATGAATGGATGTTCGCGTCGCTTTCACCCCCATCGTTTGCCAATCCCCTACAAATTCTCATTCAGCTCGAACCATGACGCCACCAACGCAGGGCGTTTCGCCCAAAGTTCAGCCAAACACGTGTTTGGAACTCGCGCTCGAAGGGGAGCGATTGTGTAAAAGTGGAGACTTCCCGGCTGGCGTCGCGTTCCTCGAGGTGAGTCGAATCGAGAGCCCTCTCATCCCTCAGGAGAGTCTCAGAAGATCAGCCACCTGCCTATATCAAATTTTGATCGTGATCGTCTTCGACGAGGCTCGGCGAGCGGAAGCACTGATCATAAGATTTTTTTCCGATGCGTTCCAGGCGGCGGTCCAGATCGGCACCGATGATGGCCGCGTGCTGAGTGCCATATATTCTCAGCTGGGCAATGCTTATTTCTATCTCGCGGACTACGAGAAAGCCTTGAGATTCCACGAGTTGGACTTGAAAATCGTCAAGTGAGTTTTCTCGAGATTGAGCCTCGACCAGGAGGTCGGATATGAATCGATCCTTGGATGAGAGGGAATCCTGATTCCACGTAATTTTTCCAAAACTAATCGGAAGTTTTCAAAGGGTCCAAGGCGATATTTTGGGCGAGGCCAAGGCCAGCGGAAACCTGGGCAACACATTGAAAATGCTGGGACGTTTCGAGGAAGCCATCCAGTTTTGTGAAGCGCATCTCCTGATCTCAAAAAGGGAGAACGACAAGGTAATTTCCTGGAAGCCCAGGACTTCGCATTAATGAGGCTATCGTGCACCAACCACGCCGCTGCGCGCACTACGCTCGGGAGAGAAGTCGATTTTTCGAATGATCACCACCGGGCACTTTCCGTTCCATGGGATTATTTCCTGGAGCTCAGACTGTACGCGGGCGTGTGAATCTTTCTTCGCACAAGAGTCTGGGAGTGCTCCTGTACGCTTCTCTGCAGCTGAACGGAAGAGCTACTTCCAGAGTAGATGAATAGACCAACGATTGCTGTGCGTCCCAGTAGACTGTCAAGCTTGACACATCCTGAGGGCAGCCGACATCACATAATGGGACAATAGATTTGGCAGACTGATGCGAATCTCCACGAACTGCACTAACCTCTGTCACTTCATTTCCAGCCCTAGCGACAAACGCACAGATCACTAAATCATCTACGTCATTCATTTTAACCCGTCATGATTATTATGATTCGATACAACCCATTCCGCATGAGCTGTGTCCTTCGCTAAAGTATTAGTGCATGAGAGAGCGTAATTTCTCCGAATCGGCCTTTTCCAAGGAATGAAAAGTTCTCGGTGTATCGATGTTTCATATTTTTCTTCTCGCTGAACGTCCGAGTGGGGCTCGGAGCTGGGCCCAGTAGTTCGTCCGACAGAAATTCGCGAAGACTCCCCGCGGCAAATTCTTGATCGCCTGGTAGGCGTGAGCGGAGTCGACCCCAATGGCAGTACGAGTTAAACTCACAGTTAGATATTGACAGAGGGCGGCGGACTCTGACTCGGTTCTCGCCTCCTTTGAAATGAGTTTCGATGGGTCCACAGATCGGAGAGGGTCGCGCCTACTACAACCTCGGCAACGTTTACCACTCACAAGGCAAGCAGTTAGCAAAAGAAACGAGGCAAGAGCCAGGGGACTACCCGCTCGAAATTCGAGTTTGCCTCCACAAGGCGGTCGAATGCTATGAGTAAGTCAACTTCCGCCCATATCTTTCTGATGATGCGAGAGAAATTCGAACGTGATACCCAGTCGGTGGGACTGGGCTCACTGCCGGAGCCCTGCAATCAGTTATCTAGAGAGACAACGAGATACGCTCAATTTCAGGCGGAACCTCGATCTCATGCTGAGACTCTCCGATCGTGTGGCACAAGGTCGCGCCTACGGAAACCTCGGCAACACACATTATCTCCTGGGGAACTTCCGCAAAGCGATCACATTCCATGAGCAGAGATTGAAGTTCGCCACTGAGTTCCGTGACCGCGCTGCAGAACGTCGTGCGTATTCGAACCTCGGCAATTGCCACGTGTTCCTCGGAGAGTTCGATCGAGCGGCCGAGTATTACAGAAGAACCTTGGAGCTCGCCCAACAATTGAATGACCGTGCTGTGGAAGCCCAGGCCTGCTACTCGTTGGGTCAGTTCCGGGAAACGGGTCTTCCCGTATCATGTTTTGCCAACTTTCTCTCTCTCTCTTTGACTCCAGGATGAAGACAGTGCAGCCGAATGACCTTAATTTTTTTCTCTAGGAAACATATACACTCTGATCGGCGACTTGAACACGGCACTCGACTTCCATAGGAAGCATTTGGGAATCGCAAAGGAACTCAAGGATCGCATCGGAGAGCGTCAAGCTTACCTATCACTCTCGAATTGCCACCAGGTGAGCTCGAAATGCTCAGAGCACACAATATGTGGCCACTGAGAAAGAATGTCATGCAGATTGCGCGGAGAACGAATGCTGTGCGGACTCTGAGAACGATGCCTCGCTATTCTAGGGTCTCGGAGAGTTGGAGAAAGCTCTCAGCTTTGCCAATCAACATCTGGAGCTCACGAGAGAAGTGAGTACCTGCCTATAAGCATCGAACTTCGTGGACACGATCAGCGCTCCCAGCGAAGATGGAGAATTTCTCATTGAGAACTTATCTAGCAGTTTGGGAGTTCAATCATTCACCCTTTCACTCAACAGACCGGAGACGTTGATGGGGAAAGTACAGCGATTCAAGCAGTAGAAGAAATCTCGGCAAGACTCGGCACGCCTGTGAAACCGCCCCAGAAATTACGTCGAAGATCCATGGAGAACATGGATCTCGTGAAGATGACACCGGAGTCCGCCTCCAGCGATGAGAAGAAGGAAAACAGAAAGTCTAGTCTCAAGAAGCGCATCTTCGGCCACAAAGACGATTTCCGTCTAGAGCCGGGGACGAGTCGGCCCGAAGTCACTCTTGAAGAAAAGGATAACTTTCTGGAAATGCTCGGCGAGTTCCAAGCAGACCGGATGGAAGATCAACGCTGCAGTATTGCAATTTCACAATCGAGGAAAGATTCCGTTGGTCCGCGTGCTGGTCCGCCTCCGGCATCCGCCAAGAGAAGTGCTCTTCGCAACAGATCGGTTTCGATGGACACGCAAGGCCTCAACGCGACCGCAAGCCAAGCGTCAACCCGCCCGCGGAACTCTCTGAACGGCGTTTCAGGACCCGCAGAGGTAAGATACTGTTCGACCCTTTTCTCATTCTGGAACTCTGGCTCTCACGATTCGCCTTCGGGGACGGAGCGAGGGTTCATGACCTCTTGGTGTGCCCTCCTCAATGATCCGGATTGAGCCGGAGGAAATTGATGGATCATCATAATAATAATCATTGCAGATTCGAGAGGACTTACTCGATCTGATTGAGGGTATGCAAAGTCGACGCATGGACGAACAGAGGACGAGTCTGCCTTCGTTGCCTGGTCTTTCGAATCCTGGTACAAATAACAACAACAATACAAGCACCGCCAACAACAACAATTCGCAGGTGGGAGTCCGATATCGAGGGCGCGCGAGCGAGTCGGAGCCAGCGTAAAAGCTCCTCCAAACCATTATTGTCCATTGAACGATGGGGTAACAAGTTTTCGGTCGAGGTCTGGGTCTTGATTCTCGAGCTCATGAGGAACTCCTTTCGATACAGGTTGCTCCAAACAGAATGCAGGTAGCTGGCGAAGCTTTTTTCGAGAACCTCGCAAGGTGCCAGAGCACTCGCTTGGAGGGACAGCGACCCCGACTACCAGAACACGCGGATAATCTCTCAATGGGATCAGTCGACTCATCTGGACGTTTGGGAGCTGCCGGTGAATCTAGCGGAGAGGCGAGAAGCGCTCCGACGGTTCCGGACGACGACTTCTTGAATCTCATCATGAGAGTTCAAGGCAATCGCATGGAAGATCAGCGAACGGCTCTGCAGCCGATACCCAACCGAGAGGTGAATTCCCATCCGAGAATCGATTTTTACAGTAATATTGACCAAGGTCTAAGTATAAGATCCAGTGCTCGGACGCATCGTTTAGTCACGAGGCCCATGCAACTATTTCAGGAGAAAACTTATGTCGACTCGGCTGGCAACAGCGTCACTGGTTCCAGCCGCAGGGGCAGTCGAAGGAGTGTCAAGGACGGAGACGACTCGGAGAAAAGTTCCAAGAGCGGATCGACTCGCAACAAGATGGGCATCAAGGGCGGACTCAAGCAAGCGTTCAAAGGTAGAGAGGACAGGAAGCACTCGTCTAAGGAATGTGACGACGACGAAGACGATATCAATAATGAAAACAATGACGACGATGACGAAGTCGAAGATGACGAAGAAGATGCGTCATCGAGAGAAGCGGGGACTAGAGGTTGAGCGCGAAGATCGAGTGCTCCTCAATCTTCCGCTTGTCTGGGTGGAATCTATTATCCTCCCCAGCAGCACAGAGCCAGTACGTCATCGCGACGACTCTGAATGAACGACTTGCGATTAGCACCAGCCAATCCCAAAGTGTTAGCGAATCTCCGCAGAGCACTCGCAAGTTACAAAAAAAAGCAGAAGCGATCAACCATAGAGTCCTCGCTCGTTCACGAGCGGGATTTGTTAGGACGGATCGTTTCCGAGCTCGTGATGATCTCGAAAAATATTCAAACTTGAGTGCCAAAAGACAGAGATTCCGAGGATCTTCCATTGAGCGTTTTTCCTCCTTCCGAGATTCGCTTGTACCAGCTCCACGGATAACGATTCGGTGAACTCCAACGAAGCCTCTTGTGATTCCCGGCGCTGTCCTTACCGAGACCTTTGTTCTCTCGAGTATGTATTATTCTTCCATCCAATAAGGTCAGGAAGAACAACCGGAGACTGTCGATTTCCCCACCGACTACTATCTGTATCATCATATGATTATGCCTATGGGTAGTAATAACTAGTACGGATCATTAGTCATTTGATGCCTAAGAACAAACGAAGAGGAAGGAAGAAGCGCTACGCATCGACTTGTGAAATACACTGTAGAATGGATATCCGATTATCGGCCGCCACTGCAATACGACGATACCCGGGAGCGGCCATTCCTGGTTGAAGTAATCAACGTCGAAGGATATCCTGATGAGCCTAGAAACGTCGGAGCGCTTCACATCGACTACGTCGACACACCTACTTAAGTAGAAGCGAAACGTGCGAGCTGGGCACGGCTTTTTGACTTCTATAGCTGTTAGATCACGTGAGCAGGTACAATGCCATTATGGACGGCATCTGGAGACACGGGAGTTCAGTTGACCTGTATTCGGTTGTTGGAGTCTTGTTCAAGGTTCGCTATCCCGATTTCCGCAGGATCGCCGCGGATCCTGCAGACCTAAAGGGCTCTTTGGAGCCCTCCCTCATAGTGTGAGATTGCTCATCGGTTGATCAGCAACCACTTCAGTTGATCTCTGGCCAGGGGATTCCGGAAGCCGAAGAGTGTTCAGATTCTCAAAGGTTGCTCCTCCGTGGGGGCAGGGGCTCTTCCTCGTGGGCTGCCTCTTGAACTTCCCGGAAATCGGGCTTCGGTTTCATTTCGGTCGAGTGTGATCATGCGACTGCTCCACCCGTCTAGTCGTTCTCGCTGCAGCGATCCACCCCCATTCGATGCACGGAATCGCTTTTTTGCGGACTATCGGGAGCGTCATGGTTTTGTGTCTCGATTCAAATCGTTTGCGCTGATTTCCCTGATCGCGAGCGGACCCCGGCTCCCCGGGACATTCTCCTCCTCTTCTGCTTCAATCGCAGCAGTCGCCATGTGTCCCATTCGGGTGTTGATTTTCCAGGGATAGGCATGGTGGATCACTTCCGAGATTCTCTCCGCTGTCCCGAAATTCTCTTCGTTCTCCCGAAATTCCCTTCGTTCTCCCGAAATTCTCTTCGCTCTCCCGAGACCCTGGCTCTGATCTCGCTGTTGATCGCTTCAAGCGCATCCGCTGATTTTGCATCGGTCGGCTTATGTTGGCCTTCACGTAGTGACACTATGTTCTCAGTCGGATCTTACTTAGCGTCTGATTTGCCTCTTTTCCTCTATCATGTTTTTCATACACTAGACGTTCTAGATATCATAACCCCGTAGTGCTTCCCTCATGCATGAATGTCGGTTGGCCATCCCGCCGCTTTTGTGCCCGCAGTTTTCACCCAAACCTTATTTTTCCTCCTTGCAGCGGTTGAGCGGAACGTCCGACCTACACTTAATGTGAAGTCGGATCAAGTAAAAAAATTCCTGAACTCTGAAATTCCCTCGTCCACCTCAACCTCGGCGTCTGGACTCTCTATGAAATCCGCAACTTCGGACACTCAACTGGTGAAAAGTAGGAAGAAAGCGTGTAAATAAACCACTTTCGAGTGTGTCGAATCCAAGGAACTGAACAAACTAAAAGCGAGACCCTCACTCCACCGCGATTCTTCTCACGATTCGTGAGGGATGGACAGAGTTTCTCGTGTTAACTTGCTCCTGCCATTCGGAAGATCATTCATAAGGAATACGAACAGATCCTATGTACCTTCAATCATAGAGATCATGATTACTGTTATAACCCCGGAAGCGCTGCCGTCAACACCTAGTCGATCGCTCATCATAAGTCCGGGAAACGAAGAACCTCGCGCTTAGCCTCTAAGTCGATCCTATTCCGTGTAGGGTAGTGAGTCCTACTGGTGTCCGATGGAAACCATGAACGTTTCGCTCTCGGTTCTACGCGACTGTTCACACATAGGAGGAGCTAGAAAGCAAACGGGGAGAGAGACAAGAACTCAATGTTGTTACATATATAGCTTCGGTGAGAACACAGAGTTCCGAAAAATTCGAGACGAAATCCGAGGAAACGACAGTGATGTTCCGCAGCCATGTCGTCGTGCACCAATGCAATGAGCTGCAAACCACAATATCGCAATACAATGGTCGGATCTACCTATCGGATATCTTCGGCGACGTTTCGTTCAGGAGGATTTTCGCAGAGAGACAAGGCAGGGACGAGGCCCTCCAATAAAGCCAATGTGCTCACGATCTCTGCTGCTCTCCGCGATTTAGTTAGGGGTTATCGGAGTTGCCGCCCTGAAAATTTCGCATCATCTGGTCTGTAAATCGGATGCTCTCGCAAGGAGTCCAAAATACGATATATAGAATCTCATCGAATCAGATGGAATTATTCGACAAGGGAAGCGATTTTCATCTCCATCTCTGCCGCTATTCCGAGCCAATAGGCCCAGATGCTGAGCATCCACTCGGCACGGCGGCATGGAATCTCATTCCGCATTGCATCAGTTGAAGACCCTGAAAATTGACCCGATCAGAGGAACACGGCGTCCTGATCCGTGTTCGGAAGCCAAGTATGTTGTAGACGAGCTTTAGCGAACCCTCTCGGAGCGGAATACCTGGAATAAAACGCGCAGCTTGAATTTTCTTGTTTTCAATCCTAGAGCTCACGGCCCAGAACTCTAGAGTACCCACCTGCCAGCCGAAATTACGGGTCTACTCGGCGAAGGCATCGTCTCTACCGAGAGGACCTTTCCGGAGGATCGAAGCCCCGTTGGCGCGGATGCATTCCCCGGAGAGGTACCGACGACGGACAATGCAAAGTACCCGAAGTGAAGTGTGAAGGCACACATCGTAAGATGCTTATTCCGACGTACACGAGCGCAAGATGACATGTCGTATGCGTGTGAGAACTTTAACAAATTATTTTATCATTTCGCCTTTTGGTAGTCCGCCCTACCCCTCTCCCTAACCATCGATTTCGTCATATCACGTCGCCAAGACGATTAGCATGCTCTTTTCGCAGTTTCACATCTTTGCATAATTCTGCCGACCAGTCTCCGGAGCTCGGAAGCTTTCCAAGCCCAGGACCATCCGTCCGCGCGCTCAGCTCCGCTTCCGTGGCGCCTCTCCAATTATTCCGAGTCGATTTGCCTAAAAACCATGAAAGGCGATCATCGGGAACAAAACAATGCGCGAAATTAGCTCGCGAGGAAATTAGAGAGAGTACTTTCATCGCTTCCGTATTCCGTCCTAAGGAAACCCCTATGCGCGTCAACTGATCGGGGAGAGCGTGACTGCTCCTGCACGCTCGTGCGTGGGTGAATGTGTCTCGGGGTGGGCAAGAGCCTGGAGTGAGCCAGAGCGGACGATGAGAGCTAGAAGGGGCTTCCGGCTTGCTTTTGGTTCGGTCCTGCGCGCGCACTTTGCTGCCTCCTTCGACGGCAGCAGCAGCAGCAGCGGCGGCAGCGGCGGCGACTACAGGGCCCCAGTTCTCCCCCGAGCTGCTCAGACGGCCCTTGAAAGGGAGGGCACAGCAGGGAAGCGAGCACACGGGCGGGCTGGCTGGCTGTTCGGATGGGTGGTCGGCTATGGACTCCTAGTATGTCCGCCATCTTTACAATAGCGATCCGAGTGTGTGCCATGCGGAAATCGAGCATAGTCGTTAGCTGTTGACCTGGCTGATTTTGAGGTTGTGTGAATCTGCAGCTGGACTCGGAGCCCAGTTCTCGACGGCAGGCGCGAGTGTATAGTTCCATCTCGCAAGAAATCCTCGCGTGTGTGATTCGTGCGTTTGTGAGTCTCGACCAGCACCACTGGCTGAGTGACTGACTGACTGACTGACTGAGAGGTAGCCCATCGAGAGGCGAATCCTTCCGCTGGTCAATCAATCTGATCGAATTGCTCATGAGCGGCACAACGATTCCCCGATCCAGGAATGAATGGATGAATGGAATCATCGATTCGTAGATCCATCGGATGGAATGAGGAAGGGCCGACTCGCTGTTTTACAGGCTGATCGAATAGGTGCCTGAACCCGCTGAAAATTCCCCGCTCGGAGCCACTTCGTTTGTAAATTCTCATCTCGCCCATCCATGGATTGATTGATTGAATGAACGAATCCATTTCCGTTGGATTCTGTGGTGCACTCGAAGCTCTCGACTGTGCGTGGCTCGCGAACGACTGAGCGAAAGCGCTCGCTCGCGCTTGCCTTCGACGTGTGACCGAAGCGTGTGTGCGAACTATATCCGACCCAAAATCTCTCAAGTAGCCCTGGCACTCCAAGCGACGAGTCGCTCATTGGGTACAGGCCCGACGAAGATCGTCAGTCGTTTCGGGGCCACCAGCAGCAGCTGTTCCACTGTTTCATTGGATCGAAGGTGAGATACCGCGAGTCGCGGTGGCGGTCTCCAGGTCGAACCCCAATGGTGCGTCGTCGTGCTCCTCATCGAGTATACACCAAGCTGCTCCCCAAACACCCAGGGGAAGAGGACATCAACATGAACTCATCATCAGCAACGAACCATCAGTGTCGTCAACATCAGCGGCCAAGAGCCCCGTCGACCCGACGACGACATCGTCGAGCTCACGCCACAATTCA